TATATATATATATATATATATATGTATATATATATATATATATTATAAAACAATATACCCAAGACAAAAATGTTCTGTTAAAATTTAAGTTAGATTAAACAAATTGAAAAGAAGAAACACCTGCGGTATTTATTAATAAACAATCAGTTTTTGAAGTTGGGGTGTATACCACCTGTGCAAATGGCAAGAAATTGTAACATCTGCTCAAGTCAAAATAGTGAAATAATTAAAAATTCCCCCATGTTCACCTAATTATGAGATTGTGACAAAGAACTAATATGATTTGCATCTTTTAAATATATTTTAGACCAGTGGTCTTTTTAACTTCAAGGCCCCCACTTTGTCCAAGACAATAATGAAAGGCTCTCCTATCTAAACTTATATGTACTGTACCTCTGGTACTTCTGTTGCGATCAAAATAAATAAACTCAAAATATGATGTCTACATCTTTATTTTTAGTGGGGGGTTTTTTCAGCATTTTAATAAATAAAAAAAGATTGATGTGCTGCTTTTGTATACGGTCATAAAATAGAATTTGTATTTTTAAATGTTTTTTAATATAAAATTACAAGCCATATTTTTGTACCACTCCTTATCCCCTGTATTTTTGGCCATTTTTACAATTTTAAGACTTATTAGGCCCCCCTTGTTGAGAACCACTATTTTAGACAATATGTTAAGACATATGATGGGGACTTGAAACTGTAATACATAGTAGGAATGATACTATTACATAACATCATGATATTTACAGTTTACAATTGTGTTACCCCTTTCACAATATATAGCCTATAATGTGGTACAATGTGACAATGACCTATTTAACCATCCATGTACTATACTGTGAATGGAAATTAAATCAGATTTCATAGTATTTTAAGGTAAATCAAGTGTACTTGTTCTTATTAAGGTATGAAACGCGTGTGGTGGAGCTGAGCGACTGGCTGCAACAGCTGGAGGTGAGGCTGAAGACAGATGCTCCACTGTGGGGTGAGAGTCAGTCTGCAGCCCCCGACTGCTCAGAAGAGCTGAGAAGAGTGGAGGAAATCCACAGAGAGCTGCTGATGAGGAGGTACATATGGACAGTCTGTGTGCATGTGTGTGAGGAGAATGTTCCAGATATAAGTGATTATTTTTGTGTGCCCATGTATGTTCATATGCTCGTGTATCCATCACGAATAAATCTGAGCTGCCTTTATCTTTTATTTCACAGGGCATCTCTTGAGCGTCTGTGTCAGTCCTCTCTCACCATAACAGAGAGAGGATCTAGATCAGAGAATGGTGTGGCAGCAGAGTTGCTCTCAAACCACGAAGTTTTGCTGCAGGAGGCCAGGAGTCGACTCCGCAGCCTGCAGGAGTACCAGGCATTTGAAGAAGCACTAAAGGCGCTGGAAACCTGGCTGAAGGATGTTGAGAGGAAGTTAGAGAAACTGGAGAACACGGAGGGGAATAAAAAGGAGGTGGAAGAGAAACTTGAGCGAGCACAGGTACATGCAGAAAAATAGTAGGAAACAACAACCTGAAAAATCCACACATTTTGTGATCTAGGAACAGGGTTTTTTTAAGAAAAGACATCATTTTTGTATAAGGTCATGAAAATATAATTTGCATTTCATTGTTATTTTTTAAAGTAAAATAAGCTGTATTTTTATACCACTTCTTATCCTATGTATTTTTGGCCATTTTTGTCCAGTCACCCATGAAATATGGTTTACATGTAACACTCAACTGACATTTCCCCTCAACACTCAACTGACAATACTGTTTAAGGGGAAATACTATTTTTAGAATGGCTGGTCTGTATCTGTACAGTAGCTGTAACTTGTGTTTATTTCCACTCATCCAGGATATCCTGCTTATGAAGGGAGAGGGCGAGGTAAAGCTCAACATGGCGGCTGGGAAGTCAGAGCTGGTCATCAAGAGCAGTGGAGAAGTGGAACGAGGAGTGATTTGCTCTAAGCTTCAGGAAGTTGAAGACGCATGGGCGGCACTGCTTTTGAGAGCTATGAGCTGCCACAGGTAACCTGTTGGTAACTTGTTAAATGACCATCATTGCAGAAGTTTAGGTCAATTGATAGTTGCATTTAAATGAGAATAATGGAAACATCAATAGTAATATAATTACCAGGACCATTAAGGTATTTTTGGTCAAGAGTGATAAGAGTGGGAGCATAGTGGTCTGTTTTTAAATTGGTAAGTGTGCTTGACTGCAGGTGCCAGGCACCTGCGCTTTTATTCAATTAAACTCATCATCACTATGGTAACCAAGTTGTTATCTGGCTCTATCAGTTTCAATTTACACCAAGGGTGTAATGATGGAGCTGTTTTTTCTAATTATCTGCTAAATAATTCGGTCATGGTTTGATAATGGGGTTCATGCTGCAGAATTGGAAAAGTGTCTATCTATCTATCTATATATCTATCTATCTATCTATCTATCTATCGTTCTGTCTATCGTTCTGTCTATCTATCTATCTATCTATCTATCATTCTGTCTATCGTTCTATCTATCATTCTATCTATCTATCTATCTATCTATCTATCTATCTGTCTATCGTTCTATCTATCTATCTATCTATCTATCTATCTATCGTTCTATGTCTGTCTGTCTGTCTGTGTCTATCTATCTATCTATCTTGCTAAATATACTGAATAATATATACTGTAAAGATTGTAAGAATAAAAAATCTAAAAATATTTTTTAAAAGGTCACATATCTCTCTTCCTCTTATCTGTCCTATGTGTTTTAGCCGATTGGAATGGACCGTTAATCAGTGGGATTTGTTCGTGGAGTCTCGTGCACAGCTGCAGAGGTGGCTGGAGGGAGTAGGGCTGGAGGTTAAAGGTCCTCTTGAGCCCCAGCTTGGACTCAGGGAGAAACGAAAGCAGTTGGAGAGACTGCGCTTGCTGTCATCAGATGTGGAGGACCACCAGGGAGCTCTGTGCTATCTGGAGGAGAGTGCGGCTGAACTTTACAAACGCACCGGTGACCCTGTCTTTAAGGAGGAAGAAATGGTTCTCCTCAGGGCACAGTTTGAGGATGTCAAAGCTGCAGCAGAGGTGATGTATTCTTTATGTTTAGAGGATAGTTGTAGTGTAATAGTTATCTAGAGTGTTTATATTAAAATTTAAATGAGTTAATTAATATTTTATCTTATTTAGGAGAGAGTCAGGTTGTCAGAGGACGTTGTTCTCGAACATAAGACGTACATGGAAACAATCAGGGAGCTCACTGATTGGCTGATGGTGGTAGGGGAGGAGCTTCAGCAATGCTCTGAACCATCCGGTGACTCTCCAACCTTAAGTCGGAAGTTGACTGAAGTTCGGGTAAGATAATTAAATTAAAGATTTTTTTAAAAATTGGTCAGTTTTATCCTAAATCTTTTTACCTTTATCTTTAAAACTGAAAAATGTAGTATAGCATGTCATATCACTGAACATGTTATTTTGTGTCAGACTCTCATTTGCATTATGTTTAATGAAGTCCACATCTGTATAAAATAAGCATGCAATTTAAATACATTTCTTTCCATTTTCATAATTCCGCAAAGCTTTTACACATTTATTAAACATTCAATTTTTTGTGAACAAGCTTGTTTTCTCTCTAAGGGTTTTTCAACAACCTCTGTGGAAAATGATAGAAAGAACCTGCAAATTGTTTTTTTACTCATTTACAAGCATCATCTTTCACTGTGAATGGTGTGAAATGAAAAGAACAAATACATTCTTTGAAGCAGATGAGATGGTGTGAGACTGCACGTCAAATTATGTGAGACACTGATGATATGAATGCATAATTGCATTTCATCTGCACATATGATTATGTTAGTGTGAGTGTATTAACACTCAGTTTTATTAACCCCATGAGTGAAATTGTACCGCAACAGCTGCCAGTCAGCATACAACAGCTTTATGCACATACACAATTTACAGTTTAAATGATCCAGTTAGCAGAAACTTTTATGTAAAATGATATTCAGATGAACAGGAATGCAACAAGAAGTGCTGCAATACCTAATTCCCCGAAATAGTGAAATTAGTGAAAAGTACTGTACAGTTTACAAAGAAATACAGAATGTTAAATGAATCTACAAAAAAAGCAATGCACAGAATAAGCAAAAATAACTGTGTGTATTAAAAGATTGAAATGGTCAATGGAGCATTTGTTTGTTAAACTGTGAGTGTATGTGTGTGGTCGAATGTTTGCACATTTTTGTGAGTAGGGCAAAAGAACTGTGTGCTTCATTCCAAGGTCAGAGTTACATGCTCTCACAGGACTACAAATCAATGGATGCAGATGCTTAGATTTTACTATTGTTATGGATCTCCAATATATCTGTGCTGATTAGCTCATTATACTGTCTGCTTATCTCCATAACACTTTGTGTGCGTGTTTGATGAGAAATAAAATCTCCATAACACAGGGTGTGTGCTTGATGAGAAAGAAAATGAGAGAAAAGTACCAGAGGCACTGAGAGAGCAATAAGAGGCGTTAAGAAAGGGGGAGAAGGGGGGAAATTGGTGGGAAATTTCTATGCTCTTTGCACGTTTCTCCCTGGATAATCAGTGCCAGTCAGGAAGAATGAGAGAGTGGTAGATGCGATAAAGGATAATAAGACTACACAGCAGCACTTTAAATAAATTATATTCAAATCAGTGCTTCCATCTCTTTACCTTTAAAGCTGTGGTTTATTTTTTTAGGGATCATCACCTTAAAATGCCTGTTTATCACTGAACAATGAACATAAAGGTTTTTTAGAACAAGCATAAGCTGTTATGCCTGAAATAAATTTGTTATCTTTGCTTTCCAATTTTTTATAATCTATCATAATATTTTTGTATGGTTGATGACTAAAATAAATAAAAATGCATATGTGATGCTGGACCACAAAACCAGTCATAAGTAGCACGGGTATATTTGTAGCAATAGATATGGGTCAAAATTATCGATTTTTCTTTTATGCCAAAAATCATTAGGATTTTAAGTAAAGATCATGTTCCATGAAGATATTTTGTAAATTTTCTACCGTAAATATATCAAAACATAATTTTTGATTAGTAGTATGCATGGCTAAGAACTTCATTTGGACAACTTTAAAGGTGATTTTCTCAATATTTCGATTTATTTGCACCCTCAGATTCCAGATTTTCAAATAGTTGTATCTCGACCAAATATTGTCCTATCATAACAAAATTTCAGATGATGTACTCAATTTAAAAAAAAAAAATTACCCTTATTACTGATTTTGTGGTCCAGGGTCACATATATTTAGTTTTCCTATTGAACGTTTAAATGATTATTTTACACTTTAATCTTCTTGATCTTTTTTAATGACTTGTTTAATTAATATTACTTTTATTCATTTTTGTTTTGTTTTTTGAAACTGCAGCTTTCTTACTCTGCACTGCTATTGTATTTCATTTTAATTTCGTTTATTTAATTTGACTAACATTTAATTTAATTTATTAATAACTATTTATGAAGAAAACATTTAATTGCAAAAAAATTAAAAAAATATAAAAAAATGTATTTTACATTGGATAATACCTACTCATTGCTGAATGAATGAATGAATGAAATTCTAATTGCTTAGACTAAGTAAACAAGTAGATATTCATGTAGGAAAATGATGGTAATTGAGATGAATAAAAAAAGAGGGAGGTGGCAGAAAGGAGAGTTTATCCTCTGAAGCGTGAGGAACAGATCCGATGTGAGAGTTTTTAGCACGCTTGAACAGTCAGTCAGTCTCACGCGGCGGCAGTACTTGGATAACAAGCAGCCACCGATGCCGCAGTTTCCGTAGCAACTTTACCCTCCCTCTCTCCCTCCCTCCTCCAGGAGCTGCTGGAGCGCGGCGCGTACGAGGGGCGCGAGCGGCTGCGGCGCGTGCGGCTGAGCGCGGAGAGATCCGGAAGGCACACGGCGGCGGCGGGCTGCGAACTGATGGATGGAGAAGTGGCGGCGCTGGCGCGAGCGCTGCACCAGTGGGAGGGAGCTTCGCTACGCGCTCGCGACGCCCTCGAGACCGCCGTGGCCGCGGCGACAGGGGCTGAGCGGGAGCAGACACGGCTGACAGCGCAGTTGGAGGGAGAAATGGAGAAGCTGGAGGGCCAGCTGAAGGAGTGGAGCGAGGGACTGAGCAGCGCCGAGCGGAGGAATAGCGGAGCTGCGGCGGTGGAGGGATGGACGGTCGCCAAGGTAATTGAGAGAGATTAAAGGGGAGTGTATAAGGTAAATGCTATTTAATTACAGTGTATATTATGTAAGCTCTCACACGTAACGTTACTGTTTGGAAAGTCACAGTTTGGTGAAGAATTTGATCATTTTGTAACAACACACACTCATTTACAAGGTTATAGGCAGAAAATAGGCTAATATTTAGCCTATATAGTACAGAGCATCTCTTTTCTCCCTTTCCTCTCTTGTTTGTCTGTTTTCGTTATGTCTGGCTCTTTCTCATAAACTACAGTGAGTCCTAATATGTTTTCCTGCTGCTGGGGTTGTTTATACTTCCATCTGCTTCTTGCTGCTCAGATAATTGAAAAAGGATTGCAGATTTTTCCTCCTTCTTTTCTTCTGTTTTTCCTCTAGTCCCTCAATGTTTCCTTCTTTTTTTGTACTTTCTCTCATCCCGTGTTTCCGGTGTCCGGACTTGTTTGTGTTACATGCTCGTTTGTGCGGATCAAGCTCCTCAACATCTGACAGCTGACTCCCACCGGGAGAGAGAAGAGGAGAGGAGGCGGGGAGGAAGGAGGGGAGAATGTGAAAGGGAGGAAGAGAGAAAGAGTGGGAACGCAAATGAGAGAACATGTCAAAGGCGAGGAAGAGTGAATGAGAGCCGCCAAAGAGTGTGAAAGAGAGGGAGAACCACGGCGTGCGAAGTGGAAGACAGGGAGGAGTGAGAGAAGGAAGAGGAGGAGAGAGATTGAGGGAGGAAGTGTTCTATAGGGGGAAGTCAGGGAAGCATTTCCCTCTTGTTTTTAAAGAGAGGGTCAGGGGGAGGGTGGAAGCACAGAGAGAGAGAGAGAGAGAGAGGCACCACTTTGGCTCTGTATAATCTCAGGCATGTTCGGAGAAGTGGGAAGGCTTCCTGGACTCGTTGAAGAACAGAAATGCTTTTGTAAGAAGCCCTGTCTTGGACTTGAATAGAGCTGTGTGTTAATGCTCAAATGTGTGTGTGTGTGTGCACAACTGTGCATGAAGAAGCATCAAGACGATAAATGAGATTTTAAGTGTCAAGTGTGGCCTGTGCATTGACACTCACCCCTGCTTTGTGTGTTTGTGTGTGTTCGTCAGGGTGTTCTGGAGGGGCTTCAGACAGCTGAAGTTATGGAGGAGAAGCTGAAGGCGCAGCTCAATGAGCTGTGTGGGTTTTCCAGTGATCTGGGTCCGCAGTCGGACAGAGTCAGCGCTCTCATCAAGCTACACAACAGGTGAGTGTGCCGCTGACATGAACGCATATGCATGAGGTTGAAGGTTTTTGAAGTCAAATGGTCACCATCTGGTTTTGTTTAGCTGTCCATTCCTTGAAAGTTTGTTTAGCCTTTGTAGACAAGTAGAAGATGGATGTTTCTTACAGAGCTTCCCATAAATGTCTCCACTGCTTATGACATGTGGCTGGTTTAATTGTTGTAAGGTTTATCGACCTTAAATATTTTGGATATTGTAAAGACTGTATGTTGACGAGCAGGGAACATATTAAAAATAAGAAGCAAATAATTTATAATAATGTAAAGCTAAAAAAAGAATTTATTCAAATAAAAAAATATAAAAGGCTATTTATTTATTCTAATATCTAATAACTGATATTATTTTATATTTATTTAATTTAATAATTTATAAAAAATAATATAGGGTTGTTTTTAGTTTTGAAAATAAACTATGAAATGTAAAAAAATTATATTTTATGTATTATAGATTATATATACAGCGATTAATGCATATAATAAAGTAATTAAAAATAAATAAACTGAGGCCTAAATTTGATGAAAATGTACTAAAGACATTTATTCAACAGTTTTATTTGCAGGGTTTATTGACCTTAAAGATTTTGTAAAAACAATGTTTACCAGACAAAAACACATTTAAAATAATAATATTAATAATAAAGCAAAAATAATGTATAAAACTATATCATTGAAAATAAATGCAAAAATAGTATTATAAGTTAATAGAGAAATTAATAAAAAAGGAATAAATTAATGTTGTTTGTTTTGAAAATGTAAAAAACACTTTAGTTTTTTCTATGTATTTATTCATCCATATTTCATTGTTTGTTTTGTATGTTAAATACACATGCTGTATTTAATTAACGGAATACATTTACACATACAGTATAAATTTAGTGCACTGAGGTGAATGAAAGGTTGTGATATATTGCACCTCATAGCGCTGCATCTAAAGTGAACGTTTCAGCTGAGAGCACCTGTCATGACAGCAGGCTTTGCCTCGTTAGCATGCTTTTCAGGTATAACAGCAAAAAAACATGCTTATCTTCCCTCCACTGCCCACTTTAACCTCATCCGCATTCGTGTATGTGAGTGTGTATCTGTGTGCAGACATGCTACTGTATTTTTGTGTGTGCAGGTTCTGCTGCGTTTTCACTTTCTAATACCCAAACTCTCCCTCTAAGAGAGCCTGTCATTGAAACAGATGTCTGCTCACCTTGCGCTATCAGCCCCCCTACACTCACCTATTTTAACCCCCATCCCCCCTTTTCACCCTTTCCTTTTCAAATACCGCTCTGTGCATCTTCCTCCCTAGCCTAAGCCTACGAGCCTCCCGGGAATGTCAGAATAAGGAGAAGCTGCTGGAACAACGCTTCCGTTCTTCTCTGCATGACTTCCGGCAGTGGATGGTCAATGCCAACATCTCTACTGCCAAATGCTTTGACTCCCCTCATAGCATCCAGGATGCCTCCATCGCTCTCCAGCAGATCCAGGTGAGAGAGTGGAATGGCTGTGGACAGTACTCTGTCCAGGAGGGCTCATCCTAACTGGGCAAATTTCAAGATTCCTGGAACATAGCCATAGCCAGGCCACAGCAGGTTGTCTCTATTCCTGTCATGTAAAAGTAGCCAGATTTTGATAAAGTGATAGCCCTTCTCAGGTCCCATGGGCCAGTTTATGAGGCCACCATTCAGCCAAAGATGTGCCAGACTGGTCTATTTATGACTTCAATTAGCATGGTAGAAAACCCATGACAGCGCAGGGAAAATGCACAGTAATGATGTATAGCTATGATGGAAGAGACATAGTTAGATCCGGACGGAAATCACCTGAGAGTTCTGAAGATTATCTAAAATATCTCAAATTTCATTTCTTAAATATTTTGGCTTTTTATTTCTATCTGCCCATGATAGTGTAATTGTCAGTGGTTCTTAAATGTTCGGTTGTGACCCAAAAATGGGTCACTGGTCTGTCCTGGTAAAAAATAATGGAAATAATAAAATGCAGTTTACCATATTAGTCTAAAAGGAAGGAGAAAACACTTTCTGTATCTTTTGTTGTGGACATCAAAATCTTCAGGGTCCATGTGCCTGATGGATTTTATTTTATTTTGTTTTGTTAACCTTCTGTTCACGTTACATCAGAAATACTGTATCATGTAAATAAGGAACATTTTCTCTTTATATTTTTATGTTACTATTTTATTTTGTTTTATTACAATTTGTTTTGTTTTATTATAATTTATTTAATTTTTTATTTCTTACAATTTATTTATGTTTTTATGTCAAATCCTAAAACTTTATTTTGAGCAGCTGTAATTTGTTTTATTATTTTAGGTAACACTTTATTTCGATAGTCCACTTTAGACATTCTATTAACTATAAGTAACTTTGTAACTACATGTCAACTACATGTCAACTAGCAGTTAGTAAAGTATTAGTAGACTGTCTGCTTAATATCTTTGAACACTTTCTTTGTCAACTTATTCTACTAACCCTAAACCTACCCTAACAGTCTACTCTGAGAGTTAGTAGACATGTAGTTGCAAATTAATGAGAATTAGTTGACATGTAGTTGACATGTAGTTACAAAGTTACTTATAGTTAATAGAATGTCTAAAGTGGACTATCGAAATAAAGTGTAACCTTATTTTATTTTATTTAAAAATATATATTTTTGGAATGTAGTGACATTCATTTTTAAAAAGAAAAAGAAAGGATAATACATTTACTGTCTGTCTCTTTTGTTATGGACACAGAAGACTTAACAGTCCAATCTGTATTTTGCTACAAATTCCTCTGTCACAGCTAGCTAGTCACATTAGGCAGATGCCAACATGCACAGGTTACATGACATGTCCTCACCAACCAAGACAAAATACAAGTTCACTTGCAATGAGGGTAAACGTTATTTGTTTTAATCACAGTGTGTGGTTAGTGTGGAAATTTTTTAGTTGCTGAGATCATGAAACCATTCAAATTAAATTTTTACGCTAATTTTGGCAATGTATTGGGTCACCACTAGCCATCCAATGAAAAATATGGGTCCTGAAGCAAAACCAGTTCAACCTCTTTTTAGCATTTGTCTCCATACATAAATTCATTCCACAGAATACTGCACATATTTTCCCCACAATCAGCAGAGAAAAAAAAGCACAGATCAGCAAAGATTCTGTGTGGGCCTAGATGTAGCATAGGTCATGTACAACAATAAAAAGGGAGATATATGAAGAAAGAAGCGGTACAGGGTTACTGAGAATGAAAGATGGAAACAACGCTCCTCATTTTTTATTTACCATCAAATACATTTCAAATGTGGAACAATGTTTCCACATGGCTTACTGCCCTGAACCACCAACACAGCGGCAGACATGCTTTGGGTCATACATAATTGCATCTGTACCATTTGAGTGGAGAAAGACAGAAAAAAGACGGGACGTACACGCCTCACAGATGGTGGGAGATCCCTGCTGGGTGCCTGTCAATGTCTGGACGTGACTCATTGCACTTGCTGCCCTCTGCTCTGTGATAGTCTACTTGTGTCTGTGTGGCTGACGTCTTGCTCATTCTGCTCCACAGGAGTTCAAAAGTGACAAGGAGCAGGGCCAGACCAGACTGAACGCTGTCCTGACCTATGGAGAGCAGCTTAGTAGCGTGGTGCCTGCCGACAGAGTGGAGGCGACCAGGACCAAAGCAAATGCAGCCAAAGATGACTGGAAGAGCCTGATGGACAGCTTACAGAGAAGAGAGACGGCCTTACAGGTAGAGCTGCGTAGAGATGAGTACATACGTTTCTGCGTATTTTATGTATATATGTTTTTTATTTTATTTTATTAGTAGAGTTAGCTGAGTAGAGTTGAGTGAATTTTTTAAAGACATCTCTGCATATTACTATTTTATTTTTAATACCCTGCTCACTTTACATTTTTAATAAGTAAAAGTGTCTCTGCAAATTTTATTTTATTTTATTTTATTTGTAACACTTTAGTGTAGGGACCAGTTCTCACTATTAACTAGTTATTTATTAGCATGCCTATTATTAACATATTAGCTGTTTATTAGTGCTTATAAAGCACATATTCTGCATGACCATATTCTACATCCCTAATTCAATTCAAGTTTTCAATTCAAGATTTTTTATGTGTTTTCTACATTTGCTGAAGTAGAGGCCTTCTGCATTACTTCTGTATGCATATATTCTACATATTACATTGAGACTGATTCAAAATTCTAGCTGCACTTAAAATTTAAACAGATATTTCTCAGAAAGTGACATATGTATGCCATGGCGTGTGTTCTAATGAATCATAAAAGAACAGGGTGCTTAAGTTAGTAACAGTATTTAATAGATTCAATAGTTTTATGAAATGCAAGATACATTCTTAAAATAAAAGATTAATTTTATTTTTTAAATGTTTTGCTGTTGTTTCACTTCTCACAAATGCAAATTTGTAACATATATTTTTTATATTTAGAATTTTTTACAGAGAAAATAAGCCTGTTACTGTAACCATTTTTCTTTCTTTCTTTCTTTCTTTCTTTCTTTCTTTCTTTCTTTCTTTCTTTCTTTCTTTCTTTCTTTCTTTCTTTCTTTCTTTCTTTCTTTACAGCCCTAAAACATTTTACATACACAACTGTTCAAAAGTTTGAAAAAAGTTTTTGAAAGTCTCTTATGCTCACCAAGTCTGCATTTATATGATCAAAAATACATTAAAATTTTAAAATAAGTTTAAAATAACTTATTTCTGCTTTAAAACATTTTAAAACTGGTAATTTTTTTAAACAGTTGTGCTGCGTAATATTTTTGGAGAAACCTTTTTTTTTCAGGATTCATTGATGAATAGAAAGTTCAAAAGAACGGCATTTATTCGAAACAAAAATTGTTTGTAACAATATAAATGTCTTTGTTGTCACTTTCGTTTTATTGTGTCCTTGCTAAAAAAAAGTATCAGTGTCTTTCAAATATATATCAAATGGCTGTGAAATCACAAACTTCAACCAAATTCTGAGACAAAATATCACTAATAGTATTTGGCCCTAACAAAGGCAGAATTATTAGTTAATGACATGAACTAGCAATAATTAATGCAGTAATCATGACAGAAAAATACAGTTTCTCCTCTATGTTCACACTGCTTTTGGGTTAGAGAGAGAAGGCATTGACAGATGAGAAGAGGATTTTTTTTTCTTTTTTGGTAGACGTGCAGACAGGAAATAGAGAGTGCGAAGGAAAGATTTCATCAGTGGCTTTCATGAGCCCAAATGCCCTTCAAATAATTTCAATTTCAATTTCAAGTTTATTTGTACAGCGCTTTTCACGATACAAATCATTGCAGAGCAACTTTACAGCAAATTAAGTTTCTACCATATTTAGTGGTAGCTTATCAGTGGTGACTGTCAGTTAATGTACATATGGCAGAAATGTTCGGAAAAATCAATTAAAGACGTAATCAATTAAAGACGTAATCAAACAGATGATGAACACTATTAACAGCAATTATTATGTGATGCAATCAAACTTATAGCAAAATGTGGTAGTTCTGTATGTTGTTTCAGGGTTGGCATCATCTGAGGTCCTCTGAGGGGTTGGCATCATCTCTTCTCAGGTGTTCTGGATCCAGACTGAAGCTTGTGTAAATCCTAGTTACCACGGGATGTGAATCCCATGGCAAAAACAGAGAAACAAATAGAGACATAATTAGCGTAGCTGCTGTTCCTAATCCTAGCCAACTTAACAACTACCTTACAAACTATTAATAAGCAACAAATTAGGAGTATATTGAGGCAAAAGTCGTAGTTAATGGTTTGTTAATTGTGAGAATTGGACCTTAAAATAAAGTGTGACCATTTTATGTTATTTTATTTATAAATTAAAAACCATATACAGCTTAAGGAACATATGTAATGTCTATGAATATGTACTTTTAGGTCTTGCAGTCTCAGATGCAGGACTTTGAGGCAAGTGTGGAACCCCTTCAAGACTGGCTGAACAGGACTGAGATCAGTGTGCAGGAGAGCAGCGCTCGCCTCCATGACCTGCCTGCCAAAAGACTAGAGCACTCCAAACTTCAGGTAAACCCAGATAGTCTTACTGACTTATTTATACTTATTCATAAGAGCTTTGATCTGCCAGAATGAAATCAATCACTTCTATTAAGATTCTTGTCCTCGCTGACTGTACCTTGAAAATCAGTGTAATGTAATTCGTTGACAGAAGAACATTTGATTTATGATCAATAGATTATGCATTGAACATTTGGAGACTATTAAAAATAATTTTTTTCTTCTTTTCAAGTCGTTTGAACATAATCTAGCTGTTTAAGCATGTAATTAAATGATCAGATGAAATCAGCTAACTGTGGCAGTGGATTTTGCAATACTTAAGCTCAATTAAACGAGTTGAACAGAAGTAGGATCTGCTGGAGATAATGAAATAAACCATGTCTGTCAATGATGATTCCGCTGAGTCAAGCTTTTTGACACAATTGAGGATTAAGCTGACATGCAATTAATTTCTCGCTCTCCAACTGCACTCAAAGAACAATTTGACAATAATATGAATAGAGGTTGTAAAGATAAACATTTCTATTTTTGCCTTATCACAAGATCTTTCATCTCTATTTTTGTATTGCTTTGTTGCCTGCTGGGCCCTTTTGTCTGCTCTGTTGGCAATTGCATTTCCAACAGTGTATCTGTACAGTGTGTGGAGGTCCTCCGAGTGATTATCCATCCCCTCCCATCTCCCCTTCCCCTGCTTTTACCCACTTTCCCTCTTAATCCCTTTATCCCCAGAGTGCACCCAACATGATAGACTCTATTATCAGGAACTGTGTCTGCCTAACTGACAATTTCACAGTCTGCTCTTTTTCCATCTAGAGAAAAGAAGCAAGAAATTTGCTTGTGGTGGTCTTTTGTGCCCTAATGTATTAAGTGTGTTTAGTAAAAGTTTCTTGTTGTTTGGAGAACGTGACTTGTCCATCTCAGTGGATGTGTTCAAAAGCTCATGTTGGCTTTTAGTCTGGTTTTTCATGGCATGAACATTCGTCTTTATTCTTCTGTGACCCCTGCTTGCCTCGTGACCCATGATTGCACACCGTCAGACGCTGCTGGAGGAGGTGCGCTCCAGAGAGTCTGAACTGGCAGAGCTGAGAGGGCAAGCACATGGCCTCTGGGAGGGTCAGGGTGCGGGGAAGAGCTTTGTGCATCGGGTCTGCCAGCTAGCTGCATGCTACTTGGCCTTGAGCAACCTGATTAAGGTAACCTCCTTTACCTGTCTGTTTACCTCATCAGTCCTGTGTTTGCTCTTTCATTGTTACCACTGATTGTGATGGAAGATGAGCTCATTATTAATGGCCTGTTGAGATCTATTACGAGAGTTACTATATGCTTAAAATTTTTCATTGTTTATTTAACTCTCAGTAACAGGTTTAGTTTGAATCTGGAAGACTTTTTAAAGGTTTTCTATATAAAATGCTAATTGACAGTGGTAAGATTCTATTGATATGCTTTTATTTTGGAGAAAGTCGTCTGTTGCATTTGTGCATTTCTTTTCTCAGTAGTTTGGATCAATTAAATTTGTTTCTATTTTCTTGACTGATTGTCTACACAATCATTTAAAGGGGTCATATGATGCTGCTAAAAAGAACATTATTTTGTGTATTTGGTGTAATGAAATGTGTTTATGCGGTTTAAGGTTCAAAAAACACATTATTTTCCACATACTGTACATTATTGTTTCTCCTCTATGCCCCACCTTTCTGAAACGCGTCGATTTTTACAAACCTCATTGGTCTGAAAAGCGAGGTATGCTCTGATTGGCCAGCTATCCAGAGCGTTCTGATTGGCCGATAGTCTTAAAACTTTACAGATCTTTTTTATGCACCAAAAGCTTGTAACCCTCCAAAGAGAAAGGAAAAATTGAAATCGCATCATATGACCCCTTTAAAATTCTTCAGTCAGTATGATTTTTTTTTTTTATAATTTTTTTTTTTTAGCAAGGAGGCATTCAATTGATCAAAAGTGATTGTAAAGTCATTAATGTTGCAAAATAATTTCTCTTTTTAAATAAATGCTGTTCTTTTAAACTTTCAATTTATCATAGAATCCTGAAGAAAAATGTATCATGGTTTCCACAGAAATATTAAGCAGCATATCTAAATTTGAAAATATATTAAAGGGGTGGTTGACTGGTTTTTTTATAGGCTTGATTGTGTTTATGGGGTGCAGTCTAACGTGTTAATGCTTCGTTTGTTAAAAAACGCATTATTTTCCACATAATTTACCTTTATTCCACACCGCTCTGTCCCTTCTCTGAAAAACGCACTGATCATTTCCTGCTTTCATGAAGCCCCTCCCTCAGAAATAGGCTATGGGCTCTGATTGGTTAGCTAGCCCAGTGTGTTGTGATTGGCTAAACCGCCTCTAGCACGCATCTAAATGTCCCGCCCCTCAACATAGCGGCATGTGCTCCGGTTGTATTGTAAACAATGACGTCGTCTATATTGCTTA